TTCTGATGTAACACTCAAGGCTGGATGTTTTACTCTAAAATTCTGCTGATCCTGCCGCTGGAGGTTCTAAAAAGCGTTTCACCCCGGGATGAAGTGTGGGACACGGGATCCTGGTTCTCGGGGCTCCCCCTTTCCCTGGGGGCTTCATCTCCCCCACCACCACGCCCGCACACGTAGCCCTTGAACCCCAGAGGAGGCCAGACGCCCCGCGGCCGCCGCCTGTCCCCGCCCCTGGCCGCCATTGGCTGTTGCCATGGCACCAGCCCGTCTTCCCGCGCCGCCATTGGCCGCCGCGCCTGCATCCCGCATCCCGCATCCCCCGCTAGCGGTGGTCTCGCCCAGCACCCTGAGTGGCGGCGCCGCCTGCCAGGCCCGCACCAGCCTTTGTCCTCCGCGGAGCCCCCTGCCCGCGCCACCGAGACCCCAGAACCCGAGAGCCAGAGCCCCGCGGCCGCCCAGGCCCAGGAGCGCCAGGATCTCAAGAGGGGTCTCAGAATTGCGCCGAGGGAGTAGGACCCAGGCCCGAGGTGCGTCTGCCAGCCCAGCCCAGCCTGAGGGAGATAAGTAAGCGGCGCGCTTCCTCGGGTTGAGGGCAGGGGGCCCGGCCTCCGCCTCTGCGGAGATGTCTCTATTCCACCCCCCTTCTCTCTGCTGCGTAGGTCCGCACACGCTCTGGAGCCTTCTATGCGTCTCCAGGGTGGGGCCGGAAGGGAAACTGAGTCCCAAAGAGGTGGGCGCCTGCGTTGTTGCAGATGGTCCCACGCACACACCCACTCACAGACTTCAATACCTGGACCAGAGTCTGCAGGCAGGCTTGCTGTGTGCCTTGGGGTGGGGTGGCGGATGCTGCACCTCTCTGGGAGTCAGTTTCCTTCTCACTAAAGTGGGAGTTTGGATTGAAGGAAAGAGAAGGGCCTCTTTGGGCCACACCTGCGCTATCCTCCGCTGAAATTTGTCCATTCACTCCTTAATTAGGGGAACCACCAGCTATTGGTGCTTTCCCTTTGGTGATAGAGATATCTCAGGGAGGCCCCCAGTAGGCTCCTTTCAGAGCCTGGTGGTGAAGGGCAGGCAGGAGGGCTTCCTTGAGGAAGCTGCGTTGTGAGGGATGGCAAGTCAGGAAAGGTGCTCCAGACAGGAGAACTGCATGTACAAAGGCCTGGGGAAAGAGAGCAGAGTGTATGTGGAGGACACAAGTCTTATGCTGAGGGTACTGGAGAGCCATGGCAGCTAATGGACCAAGGGAGGAATGGAATCTGACCAGTGACTTTCAAAGTTTCTTTTTGTCTGTGCATGAGGAGTGGACTGTGGGAGGCCAGTGAGGCTTCTCTAATGGGAGGGATATGGGGAGCTGGGAGGAGGGTCCAGCTGGACAAAACTTGAGGGGCTGGTGAGATGTGGAGGTGGGGACCCAGGCCAGAATGTGAAGGAACCCAGGGTAGGGGTCTGTTACCAAGCTCCATCTGATGAGGATGCAAGAGTGTCAGGAGGAGTGAAGGTATCCCAGGCTGGCCCTGCAAGGGTGGCCTAAGTGTGTGTGTGTGTTTGTGGGGGGAGGGTGCTTGAGAAGGAAGTCTGGGTTTGGGGAATGAGAGGGGTATGCAGGGGTTTGTGCCTAACTCAGTGCTTCTCCCTGGCTGGGTACAGCATGGTGGCCTCAGCCAGGACACAGGGCTCCAGCCAGTCCCCGGGGACCTTACCAAAATCCTCAGCTAGGACCTCTGACTGAGCTTTGGGCAGGATCAGTATTAGGGTGGTAAGCAAAGACTGTGGTCCCCAAGCATCTGGCCTTCCCCACCTGACACACTGTCTCCCATTCTGACCTGTGACTTGTGTTTGCTCAGTGACCACTGTTCTTTCTCCTGACCCTCACATCAACCCACAAGATGGGCCTGGCAGACCAAGTTCCTCCCACTCCTCAGATGGGGGAACTGAGGTCTGCAGAGGGGTTGGGGCCTGTGTGCCTCCAGCATTTTCTGGACTTCTCAATGTCTGGGTTCCAGTCATGCCTTGTCTGTCCCCCTGGCCTCAGTTTCTCCCTCTAATGGTGGCTGCCAAGACCCAGGACTGTGACAAGGAAGCCAAATGATAGAGCCAGGCATGCAGTGGGTCCTCCAAGACAGTTAGGATGGCCTGACCCATCCCCCCCCCTGGGGCCAAGCCCCCCACCCCTACTCCAGGCCCATCTGTGTCCTTGATGACTTTGGCGTGAGCAGGGGCCTTCTGGGAGCAGGAGGAAAGAGAGGAAAATGAAATGAGCAAGTGAATGAGAGTGTGGCCAGTTCAGGGAGGGAGGCGAGGGTGCCCCCTGTGGGCAAGGGAGGGCTGGCTGATTTGGGGAGGGGGCTCAGGTGGGCAGGGGGAGAGGGCTCCCAAGGAGGAGGTGGCAGAGGGGATGGGCTGCCATTGGTGCACCTCAGACAAAGGCAGAGGGAGGGGGAGCGCTGATGTTAAGGGAACAAAGAAGGAAGGTGGAGGGGGGGGGCAGGAAGGCTCTGGCAGGAGTGCCAAGCTGAGGGAGGAGACACCAGCCAGCTGGACAGAGGGAGAAGCTGGGCCTGAGCAAGAAAGGACAGCCAGACAGACAAAGAAGCAGGCGACAGTGGCAGAGCCCAGTGGATGGGGCCTGGGGTGCTGGAGGCTGCAGGGTCTGGCAGAGGGCTGACTGCAGAGGCCCTGAGCCACACAGGTAGCTACCCAGATTCAGATGCTGATGGAGGGGTTGTGGGGGCTGCAGAGCATTTAGGTCCCCAGTTCCCAGGGTGACCATAGTGGGCTTGTGTTGGTCTGGCGCTCCACTGTCAGCCTGTCCATTGGTTTCTTAGAGCCTTCATGACGTTCTTATTGTCCATCAATTGGACCAGCTAATGGTCTGTCCACCCAGCTTCTGGGAAGCTACATTGCTGCAGGGAAAGTGTCTTGTTTATCCATCTGTCTGTCTGTCTCTCTCTGGCTGTGAGCCTGGTGGCGCTAAGCTGGCCAGTCCATCTGCTGGGTTAGATTGTCAGGGTTTCTGCTATCCATCTAGCTGGCTGTCTAGTGGTTTATAAGCACATGTGTCCAGGAGCCCATTGGGGAGGATGAAAGTCTATCTGTGCCTGTCGGTCAGTTGGGTGTTTGGGTTGTCTGTGTGTCTGAACACCCATCTCATGGGTCTGCCTCTCTCTGTCATTGTTCCTGCCTTTGTCTGTCACTCCATCTGCCTCACCATCTGTCCCTGGGATTCCCTGGGCCAGCACCATCCTGCCTGTAGCAGTCCACACCAGCCTCTCCTGCCTGGGACCTAGCTCTACGGTTGGGTGGGAGTGCTAGAGCTTAGGTCCAGGGCTATCCCCTTCTTAGAGCCTCATGTGACCTGTGGCCACAGGCACTGCAGGAGCTAAAGATGACGAGCTCCGTGGCACCCTACGAGCAGCTGGTTCGGCAGGTGGAGGCCTTGAAGGCGGAGAACAGTCACCTGAGGCAGGAGCTTCGAGACAACTCAAGCCACCTGTCCAAGCTGGAGACAGAGACATCTGGAATGAAGGTGGGGTGGAGGAGGGCTGTGTGGAGGACATGAGCCTGGGTCACAGGGACAAACACCAGGACACTGGAGCCCAGAGATGGGCAGGCAGGGCCAAGGGCATCTCACAGGGGTATGGACCTGGGGCATCCCAGGGCAATGGCCATGCCTACCAGCACTCTCTCCTGCCCCCACCTCTAGGAGGTACTGAAGCACTTACAGGGCAAGTTGGAGCAGGAGGCCCGTGTGCTGGTGTCCTCAGGGCAGACAGAGGTGCTGGATCAGCTGAAAGGTAAGGGGCCAGCCTGGTGGTCCCCTCTGCATACCAGGGTGACCCCCATCCATCCTGAGAGGGAGCTGGGAGGAAGAGGGGCAGGGAGGGGTGCTGACCTCTCCCTCTCCCTCTGTGCCCACCCAGCCCTGCAGATGGACATCACCAGCCTGTACAACCTCAAGTTCCAGCCCCCAACCCTGGGCCCTGAGCCTGCTGTTCGAACCCCTGAGGGAAGCCCAGTACATGGCTGTGGGACCTCCAAGGACAGCTTTGGGGATGTGAGCCGGGCCACTATCCGGCTGCTGGAGGAACTGGACAGGGAACGGTAAAACAATGGGAAACTGACCACTGGCAGCTGTCACGTAGCCCCGCCCTCAGCCAGACTCCATCCCAGTAGTCTGCCCTTTGATTGGCCCACCAGCACGTGCACAACTCACTAAGTCAGTCCCACCCACCACTGGAGCCTCGTCTTCAGGCACCAGCTTTCTGTGGCTCCTCCACTCCCTTTCCTGGCACAGCGGACCTCAGCTAGAGGACAAAGAGGAAGGGATGTTCCTGCCAGAGGGGAGGGCTCCTAGGAGACATCCCTAGGGGCTCCCGACACCCAGTCGTCACCAGGGACAGGGCTGTGTCCAGTGCCAGGGCTCAGAGTTAGGCCTGGAGCCAGAGGGGCTCAAGGCAGCCTTTGTGGAGAGAGGGCTGTGGCCCAAGAAACCCTGGAGGGGGCAGGGAGGTCAGCAGAGGAAGGCAGGGCCCAGGCTTCTGCTCAGCTTGGCTGGGCTATGTGGGGTTAGAGAGACCTGGAGGTCCATACTCTGCTGCTGTGTGACCGCAAGCAAGTCCCCTAGCCCCTCCCATCGTCAGGCTTTTGCTCTGTACAATAGGGGGGAATAGCAGTGTCTACCTCCGGGGTGTTAAGAGGGAGACTGTGTTGCAACTGGAGAATCTGAGCTTGAAGCCTCCCCTGTGTAGGCTGGAGGGAGATTAGCGAGTGTGGGAGAGGTGTTAAGAGTCAGAACAGCGCCCCCTCGGAGTCGTTCTCTGAGGACCAGAATTTACAAAGAAACTACCTTCTCTTTTTAATTAACTTTCTGTGCCCCACCCCTACTGAGGGGGCGCACCAAGGGCAAGACTTTGTCATGCTGCCTGTTAAACTTGGGTTACACTAAGCACCCAGCAAGCGATCACTAAAATCAAAAACCACACGTATTAATGGCTACCCCTCTGCGGGCCCGGGCCCACCCACCTGCCCTCCCCCAGGTGTTTCCTGTTGAATGAAATTGAGAAGGAGGAAAAGGAGAAGCTCTGGTACTACTCGCAGCTGCAGGGCCTGTCCAAGCGCCTGGACGAGCTTCCGCACGTGGAAACGGTGAGCGCGCGGGGAGGGGGTTGGGGGTGGGAGGGTGCTGTGGGTCCTTCCCACTCTCTGCCAGGAGAGTGGCCGGAAGGCCCTGGCCCCTGGCCCGGACAGCCCCTCACCGCGACCTGCCCAACCCTCCCAGCAGTTCTCCATGCAGATGGACCTGATCCGGCAGCAGCTGGAGTTTGAGTCCCAGCACATCCGTTCGCTAATGGAGGAGCGCTTTGGCACCTCTGACGAGATGGTGCAGCGGGCGCAGGTGCGGCGGTGGGCGGGGCCGAGCGGATGGGGCGGTGCGCAGTGGGCAAATCTGCACGCGGATAGTTGTGGGATAAGTCTGGATCAATGGGCGGAGTTATGTGCCTATGGGATAGAGGGCAGAGACTGCTGTGGGCGGGGTCTAGCTCACGCCTAAGGGCAGAACCTAGCTCAGGGGCGAACACTGAGGCCAAGGTAAACAGTGGGTGATTTGGTCAGTGGGCGGGGCCACATCAGGGAGTGGGTGGGTCTAGAAGGATGGGTGGGATCTTAATAGGGGTGGGACGAAATAAGGGTGTAGGCCTGTCTAAATAGGGGGCGGGGCTAGAAGGATGGGGTAGGGTCTAGACCTCATGGGGTAGGACCAAATCTTGGAGTAGATGGAGTCAGAGCCTGAGTTGGGGGCTTGGATCATGAGGGGTCCAAGATGTGATGGAGTCAGACATCAGGCTATGGTTTAGAGTGGGTGGGCCATTTTAAGGACCAGGTGGAGTCAGGGCCAAGGCTGGGGTTTGGATAGTGGATGTGGTCATACCTTAAAATAGATAGTCAGAATTGGGGGTGGGGTTAGAAGAGTGAGCAGGGCCAAATCAAAGAGTGGGCGAAGTCAGAATGGGGTGGGTTAGGGCAGTGGGCGGGGCCATATCCGGGTCAAAGCAGGCTCTCGGTCAGCCACAGCATGGTGTGCCTTTCTCTCACTAGATCCGCGCTTCACGCCTGGAGCAGATCGACAAGGAGCTGCTGTCTGCGCAGGACCGGGTGCAGCAGACTGAGCCCCAGGTACTGGGAGGGGCAGAGGCAGGGCCCTCGGGGGAGGTGATGATCCCAGGGAAGGAGGGTACCCTGAGGACCATGCCCAGAGTGTAGGAATAGGTGGAGCCTCCACATCATCATGAGAGTGTGGCCAGTATCAGCAGCCCAGGTGCTTTCTAGGATGCTCCTGTAACCTCCAGGGCTGGTGTTCTCTCCACAGCCCCTGCTAACAGTAAAGTCAGTGCCAGTGGATGAGGACCCCGAGACTAAGGTCCCCGTGCACCCTGAGGATGGTGCCCCTCAGCCGGGCAACAGCAAGGTGAGGGGGAGTTCATTTGGGGTACACTGAGAGGCAGGATGGGGAATGGAAAGCCGGATGGATTAGGGTGCAGTGAGGCTAGTGGGGCCAGGATGTGGCAAGGTGGGCAGAGATACCTGTCCTGTGTGTTTGGGAGGGTATTCTAGACTTAGATGTAGGTGTCCTGTGTGTTTGGGGGGACACTCTAAACTTAGATGTAGGGCTACCCCTAGATGTACCCCGTGAGGTCAGAGGAGTGGGCATTTGAACCTCATGGGCTGGGGGCATCTCAACAGTGACTGAGGCCCCTCATCCATCTCCCCAAGTGTGTGGTGGCCCCTGGGGGATGCAAGGTGAAAGTGGTGGGGGTGAGGAACTGATTCTCCTGGGCTGAGGTCAAAGGACTCCTACTGTGTTTAGGGTGAGTCACCCAGAGTGTGGGGATCGGAGTGTGGGGATCGTCCCTGGCTGGGGGGGGAGGGCAGGCTGGCTGGGGCCAGGTGGACTCCATCCCTGTCCCCCCTTCCCCCACTTCACAGGTGGAGGTGGTCTTCTGGCTGCTGTCAATGCTGGCAACGCGGGACCAGGAGGACACAGCACGCACGCTGCTGGCCATGTCCAGCTCTCCCGAGAGCTGTGTGGCCATGCGCCGCTCAGGCTGCCTGCCACTGCTGCTACAGATCCTGCATGGCACAGAGGATGGGGCTGGGGGTCGCAATGGGACCCCTGGGGCACCCGGAGCCAAGGATGCACGCATGCGTGCCAACGCAGCACTGCATAATATCGTCTTCTCTCAGCCAGACCAGGGCCTGGCGCGCAAGGAAATGCGTGTCCTGCATGTGCTGGAGCAGATCAGAGCCTACTGTGAGACCTGCTGGGACTGGCTGCAGGCCCAGGATGGTGCGACCGAGGGAGGCGGGGTGTGCAACTGTGAGTGCGAAGCCTCCCTGGCCTCCTTTGTGCAATGAGCACAGATCTTGGGCTTCCCGGGTGGCAGGGTGATATCATTAGCAGTAATAGCCACCGGTCTTTTCTGTGAACCTACTCTGTGCCACGTGCCAGCTGAGGCCTTATTGCAATTCTGTGATGCTAGAATGGCAAAAAGACAGCCACCAGCAACCCACGCCCTGGTTGCTGGGTAGCTCAAGAAACCGTGATTGAGTGCATGGATGGATTGTGGGTAACCATAAACAAACATGTGGGTGCTGACTTTGAGATTCCTAGTTTTGGCAGCTGAATGCAAAGTTAATCTATGACAAAAACACTGCCCAAAGGTCCTGAGCACCCATCATGACTTAATCTCCCATCTCAGCTCTGGGTAAGGCAGGCACCTTGTTATTCATTTTAAGAAGAGTTGGAAAAGGAGGCCTGCTGTGAGACCTGCTGGGACTGGCTGCAGCAGGCCCAGGATGGGAGTGACCCCTCAGGTGCCAAGCATGCAGCACTTTGCATAGCTCTAGGGTCTTTTTGGGGGTGGAGAAGGCAGGGAGGGGTGGGACTCAACATGGGTAATTTCCTGGACTGGGAGGGCTCTGATCTGGTCCCTTGGCCCACAGCACCAGTCCCCATTGAGCCTCAGATCTGCCAGGCCACCTGTGCAGTGATGAAGCTGTCCTTCGATGAGGAATACCGCCGTGCTATGAATGAGCTGGGTGAGTGTACCCCTCGCCTCCTCCAAGTCCCCCCATTTGGCCTGAAGCTTCTGGGCCTCATTCAGCCAGGGCAGGCTTTCAGCTTAATGGTCCTGGGGCTCAGAGGACAGGCAAAGGTGAGAGTTCCAATTTAATACACAGAATCAGACCTACTGGGTGGTTGGGGAAGGGAAGAACTTTGTGAAATTTTAGGTTGGGGACCATTATAATATTGTTTAAAGCAATTGAAACATGGAAAAAAAATCTCAGCAATGTGCTTAACTTTACTCCAGTTATTGCAAAATGAGATACCGTTTCTTACCTAGCAGATGGTCAGACACTCAAAGGTTTGCCTAGATCTCTTGTGGTCTAGCTGTGCAGAAATGGGCATTTGCAACCCTGACAAGGCAGCAGACACTGATGAGAGTGTATACCTTTCAAGTCATTCCTTTCCCAGCTGGGGAATTTATCCTCTGGCTGGGTCTATTTAGGAAAATGCAGAAAGATCAGGAAGGTAGTAACCGAACCAAATAAAATCCCAGATCTGGAAACCACAGAAGTGTCCAACAGCCCCAGCCCCTGAATGCACAAATTGCCTCTGTTGTCTTTGCTCAGTGAAGGAGGAAGGGCACCTTATATTTGAATTGCAAGTTCTTTCTCTTCTACTCACCCTGACCATTTCCCCTCACGTTTGCTTACTCTTTGTAAAGTGAAAACCTAGTTTTCACAGTGACTAAAGAACTATGTGTGTGGCAATCATCAGTAACTCCTGAGCACCTGCTGTCCAGATTCTGCCCCTGGGACCCAGTTCTGCCCTCAGACACTCGAGGTCTAATGGTCTTGGGGTGGTTCTCATTTGGGATATTGAGGGCCTTCTTGACCTGGGAGCAGAAGGGAGCCAGGAACATGAGCAAATAGCAGGGAAAGGCATTCCAGGGAGAGGGAACAGCGCATGCAAAGGCCTGGAAGCCAGAAATGTGAATGGAGGTAGAGGGCTGAAAGGAGGTGGGTGTGGAGGTCACAGGGTATCCAGGGGATCATGACAGCCTGGCAGCAGGCTGCCTGAAGGAGGTATCCTTGGAGTTGGGCTTTGAAGGTAGACTTGAGGAAAGCAGATCTGGGGGTAGGATGGAGGGAGGGCACCTAAGCAGGGGAATGGCATGGGCAAAAGTTGGAAGAAGGCAGGGTTTGTTCGGGGTGCCCCCCTACACCCAGCCTCCTGTGCCCCCTTCCATGTCCCCACAGGTGGGCTGCAGGCTGTGGCCGATCTACTGCAGGTGGACTATGAGATGCACAAGATGACCCAGGACCCACTCAACCTTGCCCTGCGCAGATATGCTGGCATGACCCTCACCAACCTCACCTTTGGGGACGTCGCCAACAAGGTGCCTGGGATGGGAAGGTGGTGTCAAAACTCCCCCCACCCTCATCTGAGCCTCAAAACAGTCCTGGAAGGTAGGGACAGTTGTCCCCAATTTTATAGGCCAGAGAGGTCCATGAGAGGAAGGACTGTGGCCAGGCCACCATCTTCTTGGTTGCTCTGCAGCAGAGTGGGACTTCTGGGCTGGGGGAAGCTGGGTGTCTGTACCTGTCTCAGCCTCAGTTTCCTCATCTTAGCAATAGGATGATTGCTATCCCTTTGCCATAGTGGTGCGGATGGAATGCTGAGGCTTCAGCTCTAGCACATATTAGGTGCCCAGGGAGAAAGCCTGAAAGTGGGGTGTGGTGTCCCTCATGACTCCTCACCCACTGGCCATGGTGTAAATTTCCTGTGGCATCCTACAGGCCACACTGTGTGCCCGGCGGGGCAGCATGGAGGCCATTGTGGCCCAGCTGGCTTCTGAAAGCGAGGATCTCCACCAGGTACCTGGGTGGAGTGGGGTGGGGCATGGGGAGAGCCTTGCAGAGTATCCCACTGCCCAAGGCCCCCGCCAGAGTCCCCTTTCCTGTGGGTGTGATGGGTATCCCCTTTATTCTCTCCATAGCCCCACCACATGTAGGGTTGAGGGTGGGGGGCCCTGGGTCCACCTTGCCTGCCCTGTGCCCTGACCCAGGTAGTGTCCAGCATCTTGCGCAACCTATCTTGGCGGGCTGACATCAACAGCAAGAAGGTACTGAGGGAGGTAGGCAGCATGACTGCCCTGATGCAGTGTGTCCTACGAGCCTCCAAGGTGGGTACTAGGTGGGCACGGTGGAGTAGGGGGGTGGGAATGCACCCAACACCCAGGGGAGAGGGCACTGTCGTGGCTTTTAATTCCAGTCACAGGGCAGGGAGGCACTGGCAACAGGTGGTGAATTCTCCATCTTGGGGGAGATCAAACCAAACAACCCACTGCTTAGCTTAGGTGGTCCTGAGACAGGCCCAGGGCTTCCAACCTGCAACTCAGAGATCCTGTGAGGGCCAATTTTATTACTTTTCATTTTTATTTGAAAATGTATTTGGGTGCCTTTCCTTCCAACCTTTTGTCTGCGCCTTGATGGAGAGGGCCAAGTGGGTGGGGCCAGTGCCTGGGGTCACCCGTCCACTGACCTTCCTGCATCCCACCTCTGTGCCTAGGAGTCCACCCTGAAGAGTGTGCTCAGTGCCCTGTGGAACCTCTCAGCACACAGCACGGAGAACAAGGCAGCCATCTGTCAAGTGGATGGTGCCCTGGGCTTCCTAGTGAGCACGTTGACCTACAAGTGCCAGAGCAACTCGCTGGCCATCATTGAAAGTGGAGGGGGAATCCTACGCAATGTGTCCAGTCTCATTGCCACCCGAGAGGACTACAGGTGGGTCCACCCCACCCCATAGTCACAGTGGGCGGAGGGCACCACAGAGGGTGCTGGGGGAAGGTGGACCCCCAGGTGTGGTCTGGGGCTGGGAGTGGCAGATCTCATTCTATAGTGAACTGTCACTGAGGTAGCCTTGGTTTGTCCTCTTGCAAATGGATGTTCCCAATTTATCCCCAGGGACTAATTTTTTTAATATAAGTATTCCCAAATATTGCATGAGATATACTTTGCTAAATATTTCATTTATTAAAATAAGTAAAATATTTATTAAATAATTAAGTAATTTACAAATGATACTTAGTATTTTTAAAAACAAATAAAATTTATCTATAGTATATCTATTCCAAATATCACAAGATACTGTGCTAAAATAAGATATACTAAATTTTATTTTAAAAGATAAGTATTATTATTATTACAACTATTTAATAAATATTTCTTTTAAGTAAAAAAATTAATACAAGTATATCTCATTCAATACTTGGGATAGACTTATACTACATATTTATTCTTTTCTCTGAGATTCTAACTCAGTCGGATGCCTTATATTTTTATTTGCTAAATCTGGCCACCCTGCTCCTGGTAAGATGAGGGGTGGCTCCGCCTGACATACCCCTCCGTGCTGCAGGCAGGTGTTGCGGGACCACAACTGCCTGCAGACACTGCTGCAGCACCTGACATCACACAGCCTGACCATCGTGAGCAATGCCTGTGGCACGCTCTGGAACCTGTCCGCCCGCAGCCCGCGTGACCAGGAGCTGCTGTGGGACCTGGGCGCTGTGGCCATGCTGCGCAACCTGGTGCACTCCAAGCACAAGATGATTGCCATGGGCAGTGCCGCCGCCCTGCGCAACCTGCTGGCTCACCGGCCTGCCAAATACCAGGCAGCAGCCACTGCTATCTCCCCCAGTGCCTGTGTGCCCAGCCTGTATGTGCGCAAGCAGCGAGCCCTGGAAGCCGAGCTGGATGCACGGCACCTGGCCCAGACGCTGAACCACCTGGAGAAGCAGGACCTGCCTGAGGCTGAGGCCGAGAGTGCCTCCAAGAAGCCGCTGCCACCCCTGCGGCACCTGGATGGGCTGGCCCAGGACTATGCCTCAGACTCCGGCTGCTTCGATGATGACGATGTGCCCTCCCTGGCCGCTGTGGCCGCCACTGCCGAGCCTGCCAACCCCACTGTGCTGTCGCTCTTTCTGGGCAGCAACTTCCTACAAGGCCAGGCGCTGGCCCGTGCCCCACCTGCCCCCTGCGGTGGCCCAGAGGTGGAGAAGGAGGCCAGTGGGGAGGCAGCCTTGGCAGCCAGGGCCAAGGCCAAGCTGGCACTAGCAGTGGCGCGGATCGACCGGCTGGTGGAGGATATCTCAGCCCTGCACACCTCATCTGATGACAGCTTCAGCCTTAGCTCTGGGGACCCTGGGCAGGAGGCCCTGCGGGAGGGCCGAGCCCAGTCCTGTTCTCCTTGCCGGGGCCCTGAAAGTGGTCAGAGGGCGGCCAGTGGCCGAGCTCACCCGTTGCTGCGGCTCAAGATAGCCCATGCCAGCCTCTCCAATGACAGCCTTAACAGTGGCAGCACCAGCGACGGGCACTGTCCCCGGGACCACATACAGCCCTGCCCACTGGCCTCACGGGGTGAGCACCGAGAGGGGCCCCCATGTGGCCAGGCACGGCCAAGCCAACTTGACCTCAACCTGCTGGTTGGCCAGGCTAAGCCAGCAGCCTGTGAGGCTGCAGCCACTGATGCCTGTGTGCACACCATTAAGCTGTCACCCACCTACCAGCATGTGCCACTGCTCGAGGACACTGCCAGGGCCAGTGTGGGACTCCTGGTCCCTGGGACCCGGAAGCAGGCCTGGCTGTCTGCAGAGGGCCTGAACAAGGTGCCTGAGAAGCTGGTGGCAGAGGCGGCACCACTCTGCTTGTCCCGTTGTAGCTCCCTGTCCTCACTGTCCTCTGCTGGCCACCCGGGCCCCAGCGAGGTGGAGGACCTGGATGACAGTGACTCGTCCCTGGAGGGGCTGGAGGAAGCTGGCCCCAGAGAGGCAGAGCTGGACAGGGCCTGGCATGGGCCAGGAGCTGCCTCCCTGCCCATGGCCATCCCTGTGCCCCCTCGGGGCCGGAGCCTGGGTGTGGACACCACACCATCTAGCTCCTCAGAGAACTGCGTGCAGGAGACACCACTGGTACTGAGCCGCTGCAGCTCAGTGAGCTCGCTGGGCAGTTTTGAGAGCCCATCCATTGCCAGCTCCATCCCCAGTGACCCCTGCAGTGGGCTGGGCAGTGGCACAGTCAGTCCCAGCGAGCTGCCTGACAGCCCTGGGCAGACCATGCCACCCAGCCGCAGTAAGACGCCACCGCTGGCCCCCCCACCTCCTGGTGAGCGTGAGACCACCCAGTTCAGCCAGCAGTGGGAAAGCTACGTGAAGCGCTTCCTGGACATCGCTGACTGCCGAGAGCGCTGCTGGCTGCCCTCTGAACTGGACGCTGGCAGTGTACGTTTCACTGTGGAGAAGCCAGATGAAAACTTCTCTTGTGCCTCCAGCCTCAGTGCACTGGCTCTGCATGAGCACTACGTGCAGAAGGACGTTGAGTTGCGGCTGCTGCCCCCAGCCTGCCCTGAACTTGGCGGGGGTGGTGGCCCCAGCCAGCACTTTGCTGGGCACCGCCGTCGAGATGAGGCCAGTGGTCGCCTCGAAGGGCCACCTGCCACTAACCAGGAGATGGAGTTGCTGCGGGATTGCCTGGGTGCAGCTGTGCCCACCAGGCTCCGCAAGGTGGCTTCAGCGCTGGTGCCCAGCCGCTGTGCACTGCCCATGCCCATCTACATGTTAGTGCCCACCCTGGCCCGGGAAGACAACTCATGTACTGACTTGGCGGAGGGCACGCAAGTCAACTTCAGTGTGGCTTCACTTAGTGACCAGACACTGCAGAGACCACCCAGGGACCCACCTGGTGGGGGTGGGGAGGGACAGAAGCCAGCAGTCCTAGAGTCTCCCGCCAGGCAGGCCACTGGGCACCAGCACAGGGTTGGGGGTACAGGCCGAAGAACAGAGCCAGCCCGAGGCGCAGGCAGGCGCCAGGTGGGGCTGGAGCTGCCCCTTCGAAGGCCCCCAAGAGCCTGTGCAGACAGGAACAGCCCCCAAGTGGGCCGAGCATGTGGGGAGGGGGCGCTGCAGTCCTTGTGCCTCACAACACCCACTGAGGAGGCTGTGTACTGCTTCTACAGCAACGGCTCAGATGAGGAGCTGTCCACAGCAGTGGGGGTCACACCCTCCAGGCGGGCATCTGCTATTCCCCGGGCAGTGAAGAGAGAGCGCCTGGCTGGCAGGAAGAAGGCACAGGCTGTGCCCAAGGTCACAAAGCCAGCCCGGGCCCAGCCCAGTCTCATTGCTGATGAGACACCACCATGCTACTCCCTAAGCTCCTCCACCAGCTCCCTCAGTGAGCCCGAGCCTGAGGCGAGCAGGCTCCGAGCCCATGAGTCAGTGGTCACCAAGGACCTGGGCCCTGGAGGTGGGAAAGATGGCTATCCCAGCCCTCAGGCTGAGGTGGAGCTGCTGCGGCGCTGCATTGGCTCAGCTATGCCCAGGCGCTGGCCACAGGCATCAGACTCAAGGCATCGCAAGCTCCGAGATGCCCAGCTGGACAAGCAGACAGCAGAGGGGCCCCGGGAGCACAGTGAGGAGACAGCAGGGTCAGACCATGCCTCAGACCTGGACAGTGTCGAATGGCGCGCCATCCAGGAGGGAGCCAACTCCATTGTCACCTGGTTGCACCAGGCAGCAGCGGCAGCCACTCAGGAGGCCTCATCTGAGTCTGACTCCATCTTGTCCTTTGTGTCAGGGCTGTCAGTGGGCTCCACCTTGCAGCCCTCTCTGCACAGGAAAGGGTGGCAGCCACGAGCAGAGGGGCAGGCAAATAGTGCCACTCAGCCAGAGAAACGAGATGTGACCCTGGCCCAGCAAAGTAGCAGCCCCTGCTTGCCCTTCAGCCCAGAGAAGTTGCATGGTGCTCAGAAAACTACATCTGGGGTGCCAGCCATGCTCCGAGGAAGAACAGTGATCTACGTGCCCAGTCCAGCCACTCGGTCCCAGCCTAAAGGCACCCCTGGCCCCCGCACCACACAAAGGAAGATGGGATCCCTGAGCCCCACACAGCCAGCAGCTCCCACCAAAGTCCTGGGTCCTGGGCAGCAACGGTCTCGGAGCCTGCACAGGCCTGGCAAGATCTCAGAGCTTGCAGCCCTGAGCCCCCTCCAAAGGAGTGCCACGCCACCGGCTCGCCTCACCAAGACCCCTTCATCCAGCTCCTCCCAGACCTCCCCTGCCTCCCAGCCTCTGCCCAGGAGGTCACTCCCAGCTGCCCATGCTTCGGGACCCTTGCCCAGCCCCAGGGCCTCACTGGTGCCCAAGACACCCAGGCGGGCCCTACTGGCCAAGCAGCACAAGACACAGAAATCGCCAGTGCGGATCCCCTTCATGCAGAAACCCGTTAGGCGGGGGCCACCACCTCTGGCCAGGGCAGCCCCAGAGCCAGGCCCCAGGGGTCGGGGGGGGCCAAAGGGGTGCCCAGGTACCCAAGCAGGCCGCCTGGGCCTGGTGCGCATGGCCTCAGCCCAATCCAGTGGCAGTGAATCCTCCAACCGCTCGGGTTTCCAGCGGCAGCTGACCTTCATCAAGGAATCACCAGGCCTGCTGCACCGACGTCGTTTGGAACTGTCCACAGCAGAAGCCACCCCCTCCACCTCCCAGGTCGGCTCACCCCGCCGCAGCCGGCCTGCACTGCCCACTGTCTTCCTCTGCTCCTCCCGCTGCAATGAGCTGCAGGCTCCCTCCCCGCAGGCCCTGGTTTCTCAGCGGATCCCTGAAGTTCGGTCAGGCCCTGGTGAGAGGCCACCAAGGCGCACTAGCTCAGAGAGCCCATCCCGTTTGCCCATCCGCAAGCAGGCCACCCAGCCAGAGGCAGTCAAGCGCTACGCCTCTCTGCCCCATATCAGCGTGGCCCAAAAGCCAGAGGGTGCTGCCCCTAGTCCTGCAGCTGATGCTGCCCGCCGCAGCAGCGATGGGGAGGCCCGGCCCCTGCCCAGGGTGACCTCACTGGGCACCACATGGCGTCGCATCCGTGATGAGGATGTGCCGCATATCCTGCGGAGCACACTGCCCTCTACCGCCCTGCCGCTCATGGGCACCTCATCAGAGTGCCCAGGCAGTCCCCTGCAGCGCAAGACCAGCGATGCTGTGGTCCAGACAGAGGACTTCGCTGCCACTAAGACCAACTCCAGCACATCCCCGAGCCTGGAGAGCAGGGGCCCTCCCCAGGCTCTGACCAGCGGACCTGCATCCATCCTCGGCAGCAATGTGGATAAGCCTGGCCCTGCCAAGGTGCCCACCTCAGCCCCCTTCATCCATGAGGGCCTGGGAGTGGCTGTGGGGGGCTTTGCTGCCAGCCGGCATGGCTCTCCCAGCCGCTCAGCCCGAGTTCCCCCCTTCAACTATGTGCCCAGCCCCATGGTGGCGGCCACCACTGACTCAGCTGTGGAGAAAGCCCCTGCACCCCCTGACCTCCTAGAATAGTTGCCTGGACTGGTTTTCTGGAACATTCTCTCTGGCCAAGAACTGTCTGGTTGCCCTGAGGGTGGCCCTGGAAACTGCCTACCCACCCAAGCCCCCTACCCTTGGAGACCCACCCCAGTCCATGTTGGCCTTACATCTCATGCTTGCTTCTGTGCTGTGAGGACTAGAGAAGGAAATGGGATGCAGGCTGTCAAGCCTGGCCCACATGCAGAGGCCACCCTCTTGACCCCCAGCCCCATTGCACCTAAGCCTCAGCAGGACACTCATCTCTGGGGAACCAAGGGAGATTACAGCATCCATCTGAGGTGGGGGAGGAGGTTTCAGAGGGTGGTACTATCCAGCATCTGCCAGCTGGGCCCGAGGCATCCACTAGTGGACAAAACCCGTTATTACGGGGACAGCTGGGTAATTTGTTAATGATGACTGCTGGTTTGTTTGCCTTCTCAGCCCCAGCTGAGGGAGGGGTATGGCTGAGCCTGTGAGACAGGCCCCCCCCACACTGTAGGTGCCAAGACAGGGGCTCATGGACAGAGGGGGCACTGTCAGAAGCCTGGAAAGAGCAAGGAGAGAAGGGCAAAGGAAGACTGGGCTGGGCGATGCAGGGCCACTCCATGTCCCCACTCCTGGTGGCGTGGGTGCTGGTTCTGAGTAAAGGAGGAAGAAGGGGACAGAGAAGGTGGGTGGAGTCAGGACCAGCTGTGGTGGGCAAAGTGCAGTGGGAAGGAGGATGAGAGTCCCAGCCAAATCTGGTTCTCCTTGGCAATACACAAAGCCCTGGATCTATTGGAGGGCACAACTGCAGGGCCTGGGGTACAGGTCACGCCTGGCCTTGGAGGAGGTGCAGGGCCTAGAGCCCCAGAACTGTGGCCAGGCCAGCTGGATGGTTGGAGGCCAGGGCTGCTGGGATGCTAGTGTTGGTGTCAGAGAAGGCAGAGATGGAGGGGGTCAGGGAGCCTGGTGGGCCTGTATGTGTGTGTACGGGGAAAACTGCTGAGGTTCCTGCTTGGTTTCCTGTAGATACAGCCAATGATCTCTCCTGGGGAAGCCTCGCTCTGAGAAGGAGCTGCTCTTGGGCTCACAGCTCTGTCATAGTACAGAGCTGCCCCAGAAGGGCCGGAGAGCAGATGCCATTTGGGGAGACCGACAATATGATGACTAGACTTTAGGTCCCATTTCTGAAAGGTGGGATAGCACAGTTGAGAGTTGGTGGAAGTGCAGAAGGAGCCCCTGTCCGTGCCCATGGGTACCACTATCCCTCCCTATCCCGTCCATGGAAAGAGCTGAACCAGGAGCAGAAGTGTTTCCTGCACTGGACAGTCCTCAGTTCCCAGGGCTCTTGGGGGCCACATTGATTCCAAACCCCACAGACACCGTGTTACTACTGCTAACACATCTGTGTCATGTTGCATTATAAGCCTGCCCACCAGGTCAGTTGCCAGGGCTCTGCCCCAGAAGGCCACAGGCAGGATGCAGGAATGGCTAGATGCACCAAGTGCTCCTCCTGTGACCAAACTTCCAGGATGTGCTGGCACACAGCAGACCATGGCAATGAGGGCTGGGTAGTGCATTGCATGCGCTCACAGCTGATCCCTTGGGACACACTGGGGGAGGGGCAGTTCAGATGCATCTCAGAAACCAGGACTCCTTGTCCCCATCTTTAACCTAAAGGGGCGGGACTGGTGATCTCAACTCCTTTTTAAGTGCAGGGGCTATCAGATGTCTGCTTTCACACTCACCATGGGCCAGCTGCCTCCCAAAATGGCCAAGTGGGAGGGGAAGCCATGCAGACCCACGCACAGCTTGCCCAGCCATGGAATCTGAAGTGATGGGGCCTGGGGGTGGGAGTACCCATGCACTGTGAGACCCTGGTTTGTGTTCTCAACACTCTATGTCTCAGTTTCCCTACGTGGGTCATGAGAACTCCCGGAGCTACCTCTAGAGCCAGAGTGGCTGCTGTGACTTGGTGAGAGGCCCAGACCCTCCCTGGCTGCCCCCTCCACCTGCCCCTTGTCCTCAGAAGGGGGCAGCTCTCACCTCAGCCAGCACACCAGGAGCTCATGTCCCATCTATGTCCAGCAGCCACATTTGCCTTCTCTGTTCCCGTGATGGAGGCATAGCCACACCTCACAACTGCACAGGGCAGGACAGTGGGGGTCCAGGGCCCTGAGAAGAGTGGAGGTCACTGAACAATTGATTCTAGGCCTGAGCTGGAGGACTAAAGTCTTAAGACCCAAAGGATATCTCCCATGAAGCCTTGATCCCTTCAGTTGCTCAGCCACCTGACAATGCTGAGGGAACCGTTTGCCTCCAGAGCACCCTCAGCCCATGACCTTGAGCAACCACCACCAGCTAGGTGCTGAATTGGGGGCAACATGCCTGCAGGTACAGCATTACCTCACCCCCCTCTGCCCGTCTCTCACCTGGCAGGTGGCTATAGTGCCCCAGCCTGAGCCTAGTTGTTTTGGTCCATCCATCTCTGTGCCCTGGGTCCCTGCAGTGTTACAAGATGTGTAAATACATACAGCCCTGTTTCCCCTACTCCCACCCCAATCAACCTAAAGCCATTGGTCTGGTGGAAGGAAGGCAGAGAACCAGGCGTCTTATGTGCACCTTTAATAAATGGAGCTGTTGAATCTTGTTCTACACGGCTGTTTCCAAATGGGAGAGTACAGGATGGGGCTGGAGTACTTTGTGGGTTTTCCATCCAGACTGCCTGCCGTGGGCCCATGTGCTAGAGGCAGATCGGGCTGTGGGATTTGTACACAGAGAGCACTCAGGACAGGCGGATGTGCAGGGGGATGTAGCTGGAGTGTTTTACACTGATCTTGGGGTGGAGGGGCTCTGGAACCCCTAGACTCAGGTGGCCCCACCTGGAGGCCAGGGATGTGCAGGGAGGGGTGACCTCCCAGTCCAGGGCAGCAGGGCACCTTTGAGACATTAGCAGGTAGGCCAGGGGGCTCTGGACAGTGTAGCCTCAGTGTCCACTGCCCTAACTGGAACCAAGCGGGCATTTTCTAAATGCCTGTGACCCCATAGGTTTCAGGGGCCTCTCAGGTTTAAGCAGGCACCCCTTCTTCAGAGGAAAGAGAAACACCTTCTGGGATGCTGGGTCACCGGTGTCAAGGACTTGCTTTGTGTGTCCAGGTGCTTCCCAAAGCTCCTAGGGAAACCTGGAAAAGAGCAGCTCACAGAGGCACCATCCAGATGGCTGGTGGCAGTGGGGATTTCATCTGAGGGACTTGGTGGGGACACCCATGACGGCCTGGCCTGCCAGGACAGAGGTGGCTGGATAAGGGCTCCAAGCAAGTAACTGATCAGCTTGTCCTATCTTGGGATCCCGAGCCAGCACTCCCATCTGATGGATCTCACAGCCAATAGGTCAGTCCTGCACCCTGATAGTAAAGCAGACGGACAAGGCCCTGAAGGAGAGCCCACGCCTTAGATCAAGGTGCTCAGGGCCACTGGAGGCCCCATTTGAGATCTGGGCTCTGCTGGGCAATCACTCCTCACATGGCCACAGCCATCAGGGTGGAGAAGACAGAACCCCCATCCTCTTCTGGAACCTCTGGGGCCCCCACAGTTCACACAGAGATGGGCTCAGATTAATGGGTGATCAGTGAAACAGGGTCACCAAAGGAAGGGAGGGGAGGATGGGTTCTGAGACCCCACACCAAGTCCAAACTGACGGCAATCAGGCCCCAGAAGAGAAGCCTGGGGGTGAAAGGCATGCACAAAACCTGTCCTGACCCTCAGTAAGGGGTCTGTGCCTGGCTGAGGCAGGTGTGCCCCCTCACTCTGCACTGTCCCTGCTGCAACCATACACAGGGCAGGCTCTGTCCCCTGATGTCTACAGGTACCAAGGCGGGGCTTAGCCATGAAACACAAAGCCCAGAATCTGCTTCTGGGACCCAAGGGCCCATGCCTAAGGTGTGCCAGGCCAGGACCAAAAGTTCCAGGAGCCCATGGGGTGCACTGTCCGGGGACTGCATGCTTAAGCGAGCCCAAGGGTCAAGTCAGGCTGAGAAGGCGGTTGAGGCCCCTGACAGCGCCACCTGCTTCACCTGGATGACGTCCTGTTCCAGCTCCTGGCCAGCTTGCCAAAGGTCCTCACACTTTTGTCTTAGCTCATTGCCCGCTCGCCTCAGCTGCTGGTTGGTGGCCACATAGGCCCGGCTCTGCTGGTACAGCTGCTCCCATTGGGCCTCAGGGTTCTCAGCCCTCCAGGAGGGGCCTGGGGAGTCTGGGGATAGAACACAGACCGCTGGTCAGGAAGGGGACTGAGAGAAGGCTCAATTTACACCCACAGCAAAGCATGTGACCAGAGGGGATGGGTCACGGAAGAGGCCCTGCCTGGGGGTGGGCACCACTCCTGTAAAAGGCACTGACCCCACAATGGAACCAGAGAGCAGGCTGGCCCTCATTCCTGTTCTTAAAGCCTAAGATGCAACCTCCCACTCCCTGAAAAACTATCCCATGGCCCTGTAACCTTGCAAAATCTGGGGGCCCCACAGTTCACAGAGATGAGCTCAGTCTAATGGGCTCATAGTCAGGAGGCGCTAACGCAGGAGAGTGTGAGCACATGTCTCCAGGTGACCCTACTTCCTAACAACAGTGTGCCCAGCCAAGGTTGATGGGGTGGAATTGGGTAGGAGGAGCAGGGCAGAAAAAGCACAGCTTCAGAGTCACCCAGACATATCCAGGTCTTCTCTGCTCTGCCTGGTCCCCTGTGAATGGGAACAATGCTGTCACACACCTGCAGGCTAAATGTCTGACATAGGCCCTGGAAACTTTGGTATTTATTAATCAGTTTTCCCCCACCTGCTTTAGTAATAAGGTGGGAAACACCAGACAGCACACATGAAGACTAAGTGTGGTCCTAGACAAAAACATAGCCCAACAGGAGAAGCATCTCTCCCTTGAGTGGCCCCAGCTCTGCCTGTGCCTCAGTTTCCCCACCCTCCAAATGCTGCCCATGATTCTTAAACTGGGGCTCAAGAAACCTCAGATGACCCAGGCTGGAAATAAATATGGTTTATGTTCCTAGGGCTGCCCATTCAACAGAATATTTCTGGTGATGGAAAAGTCCACCATCTGAGCTGTCCAATATAGCAGCAGCCACAAGTGTCTTTTGGGCACTTGAAATGTGGCTACATGGAGCAAAGAACTACATTTGTCTACTATTACTTAATTTTTAAAAATATATATATCTTTATTGATTTCAGAGAGAGGGAAGGAGAGGGAGAGAGAGAAATAGAAACATCAATGATGAGAGAGTCATTGATCGGCTGCCTCCTGCATGTCCCCAACTGGGGACCGAGCCCACAACCCGGCCATGTGCCCCGACCGGGAATCAAACCCCTATCGCCTGGATCCTAGGTCTCCTAGGTCGACGCTCAACCGCTGAGCCACGCCCAGCCGGGCTACTATTACTTAATTTTAAAAAATGTTTCCCATAGCATTTCTCACCTCATATTGCCCACAAGACTTGTTTACTATCTCGGTCCCAATGACCCCAGTGCTTAGAACAGAACCCAGCACATAAGAGGTTCTTAATGAAGGTTTGTTGAATGAATAAGCAAACATCACCAACCAGAACACAAAATTCACCCAACAACTGTAGGCCAAAACCATTAGTCACTGACCAGCTACCATCTTCTCCACCAAACTTTTTCCACAAAAGGCCAGACAATACATAGTTTTGGCTTTGCAGAGCCAGTCTGTCTGTCCCAACTACTCAACTTTGCCATTATATCCTGAAAGCAGCCACGTCCACAAACAGGCATGGCTGTGCACCAACACAACTTTACCGACACAAATCTGAATTTCATACCATTCTTAGCTTCCTGGCTTTACAAGAACAGGCAGTGGGCAGATCCTGGTTCCAGACGCCCCTCTGAAGATGTGCCCCACTTTACGTGAGAAGAGGGGGCTCAAAGAGGGTAAGGATCGTGCTCTAAATTCAACAGACCTGCTACTGCGGGTTGGAGCTGGGGTGAGCTTCCCGGTACCACCAGTCCCCGGCGCACCTCGCTGTTGGGGTCTTTGCGCGACTTCTCCCCTGTCAGCCTGACAGTCCTGGGCTCCCCCTACCTTCCAGGGCCAGGGCGGTGAACACTGGGTCCTCAGCGGGCGCCCCCCGCACGTCCTCCAGGATATGCTTCATCGTGGGGGGCGCCGGACGAGTGGGCAGCACCACGCGCTTCTTGGCCTTCGAGCCCATCCCTGGAGGCTAGAGAACTGCGTCACAAGGGCGTCCACCTCTCGGCCTTTGCCTAGGTGGTTCCTACACACTCGCCTGCCCCGCTCCTCCTGGATCGCCCCCGCCCCTTTAGCGTTCTCTCCACCCCTGCCTCAGTTTCCCAACTGAAACGCAGCTACCTCGCCTCACCTAGGCGCGCACCCCGAGCTGCGGATGCCTCAGAGCAGCTATTTCTGCTTTTGGTCTGAGCGCCACCCGCGCACCAGACCTTGAGGCGAACTTCCGGCCTCCTAGTTCTCCAGCTCGCAGCACTTCCTGAGGCCACGCCCCCTCTTAAAGAGGCCGCGCGGGCGCTGAACCCGGCGTTATCCGAAGTGAGCTGTGGCTGGACAAGCATCTGGGAGGAGGGGACCGCAAATGCTTCGGCCTGGAAACTCAAGGGGTGGGCGTGGAGTCCAATCCCTGCTTCCCTCCTTGCATAACAAAGCATCCGAGGACTTTTTTTGTTTGTTTTTTGCAAAAGGGGAACACAACCCCCAACCCACGTGGCTGTCCAGGGAACAAAGTTCCTGTTCACGCTAGGTGGCCTGGCGCACAGTGAATGCTAGCTTTACCAATTACCAGTGAGGTGGCCAGGGACCTAGGATACACACCACCATCTCGCCTGCTGGATCTGGGTTAAGGTCTCCCCTCTGATCTCTAAATCCCCTTCCTCACCCCGTGGGTGGTACTGGACTGTCATCTTGGCTAGAATAGACAGGCTCAAAGCTTAGGGCCATTTCTGTGTGTGTTTTTAAACAGCTTTATTGAATGTAAATTGTATACCATAAAGTCCACCTGTTTATACAATTCTGTGGTTTGGGGGGGGGGAAATATATATATATATATATATGTACGTATGTATATATATATTTGTGCAACCACAAATGTAATCACAGTCTAATTCTAGAACATTTACATCACCCCAAAAAGAAGCCTATTAGCATTAATCCCCCCCAACCCAATTCCTTTCTCTGTGGATTTGCATATTCCGGACGTTTCACATAAATGGAATCACACACTATGTGGTCTTGGGTGTCTGGCTTCTCTTACTGAGCATCATGGTTTCAAAGTCCATTCATGTTGTAGTGAGCTTCAGTGCTTTGCTCCTTTTCGTGACTGAGTAATATTCCAGTGTGTGAAGGGACGTGGTTTTTTGTTCATCTGCTGATGGACACTTGTGTTGTTTCTGTCTTTTGGCCGTTGTGAATCCTGCTGCTGTGAACACGCTTGTACAGGCTTTTGCGTGGACTTCTGTTCTCAGTTTTCCTGGCTACATACCTGTAAGCGGAATTGCTGGGTCACTTGGTAACTATGTTTAATGCCTGTGGAACTGCCAAAGTTTTTCCCAGGGGGCTGCTCCAAATTGGTGCATTTTGGGTGCTTACTGTGTGCCAGGCAGGAAAACTGCCTCTTGTGATCCTTACAAGCATTTGATGAGACAGGTGCTATTGGTGTTGTGGCACAGGTGAAGCCACAGAGGCTCCAAGAGGGAGGCCGGGTGCCCTAGGACACACAGCTTAATCCTGCCAGGACTGGGTTCACCTTCAGGCCTAAATCCAGAGCTAGGGACTGAGTGGGTGAGACTCTGGGTGTGTGGGGGCAGGACTGGGAGGGCAGCTGGGGAGGACTAGAGAGGGAGATGAGGCTCTCCTTCCCTTGCTGGCCACCCACTTCTGGTGGGCCCATCTGGGCACCCATGTCTTTTCCTCCCGACAAATCTAGGTCAGGGGTCTATGACAGTGTCTGGTTCTAAGTGCTGAGGCATCAGTCTGTCGCTGTTCAGCTGCAAAGCCCTCAACAGAGCCTTCCTTCTTTCAAGGCTTGAAGTTGGGCAACCTGAGCCCAGTGGCAGAGCAAATTCCCAGGTTCCCAGGGCCACAAAAGTGGGTGGTTTCTGGGGCCCCTGGGCTCCTACAACAGGCAAGGCCTGTCCCTTCGAGCCTGAGTGAAGCCCCATAGTCAAGGGCACAGGCCAGCCTTCACTTCCTCGTGGAAGTTCCCTCCCTGCTCTGAAAATTGGAACAAACGTGTCCCCACCCCATTGGTGTGTGTGAGGACAGAGGGAAATTTAATAGCTCACTCTGTACCCCCTTACCCACCCCCACACCTCGGGATCCTCTTTCTGTTCCAGAGAGGTGGGAGACCCACTTTACAAATGGGGAAGTCTAGGCCATGGGGGGATGAGAACAACATACCTCCAGCCCATAATTCCCTCAGCTTCCCGATGACCTTCAGGAAATGGAGTATAATTATCGGAAGCTTGTAGACCCTCTTCTGCTAGTTATCGGTGTCAATGGGATGGAAAAGGGAATGTGAGCTGGGTCCAAGAAACTCAGCACTCAAAGCATATGGGTATCACTAGGAACCTCCACCCATTCCCACCCCCACAGCTGGGATCTCTGGGCTCCAGAATGACCCCCTTTCCTTTATGTGTTGCTGAGTCCCCCAGGGGCTGATGCCCAGGGAAGGCAAATTTCAAGCAGGGCATAGGGGAAACCCAACCATGGTTGGGGGTGGGGGGCCTGCCTGTGCCCCAAAGGAGACCACAGACTTGGCACCTCCTATTCAAACTTTATTGCAAACTCTGAGGTCAGACATGGTGTCTGAGACTCTGGATAGTGTCACTGGCTCTCCCTCCACCTCCTCCCAGATTCTGGGGCAGAAAAGGGATGGTGGACATGGTTGCGGCCTAGCCTCTGCCCCATCCCACCCCACCCGCATCCCAACCATGTAACTAGATGTGTGTATGTGTCTCTCTCTTTCACCTGGACCTGCCAAGTCTGGGTTGCAGGATTCCACAAGGGCCACCCCATGCCTGCAGGTCTGGTGGCCAGCCAGGGCCTTCTAGGGGAAGGTTCTCACCCTGGGTGTTGATCTAGAATGAGGGAACAGGGCATCAATGCCCACAAGAGGCCTAAGCCAAGGCATACGTTGGCTCTCCTAGCTGATGTCTCTGGGGTCCAGTCAGCAGTTGGGACTGGGTGCTGATGGAAGTGGCCTACAGTGCTGGTGGGGGGGCCTACATAGGGGAGCAGGCAGCTCATAGAAAAGATGCTACAGAGGAGGGGGCTCCCAAAGGCCACAGACAACAGGGCCAGCACCATGGCCTGGACTGGGCTGCAGCCTTGGTGGCAGGGATGGGTAATCCCAGTGGGCTGGGGGTAGCCTTTGTAGGGGGCAGGCCGTGAGCAGGAGCCCCCCATGCTCATCCAGTATGTATGGTGGGCAGCAGGTGGTGCAGTTGAGCAAGGAGCTGCCGCAGCAGGTGTAGCAGAGTGGCAGCTGGAGCACACATGCAGGGTGGGTGTGACTGGGCACTCAGATCAAATGGTCACTGCCTGCTGGGTGTGACTGAAGTACTTCGATGAACAGTGGGAGAGGCAGAGGTGGCCCAGGATGTAGGCAGGGCTGTAGCATTCTGCAAAGGGCACAAGGACACCGAGGTGAGGCTGAGGCCTATAGCCCCGGCCCACCTACCAGCCCTGGGCCGCACACGCACACTGCCAGCAAGTGGGCCATGCCACACTGGGCACTCACCCGGGCACAGCCCCTGTGTCCCGCTGCACACACGCGCTGCTGGTCACCTGGGGGCCTAGGGGCCGCGTTGTCATATCCTCGTCTGTCCCATAAAGCAGCAGCGTGTAGCGGTACAGCATCCCTGGGCAGGGGTCACGGTGAGCACGGGGATGAGGGGGAGAGGTGTTAGCAGCCTGATCCTGCCAATTCTGGACCCCAGTTCCCTGCCATCCCCACACAAGCCTGGAGCTCCAGACTCAGTACCCTGGACCCTCAGCAGCCATTGTGGGATGATAACTGGACGCCTATTTCTCCTGGTTACAGGACACCTACTATGCAAGGAAATCACTGGGAGCCCCTCTGCAGTGGGTAACTGAGGCTGCCCTCAGAGTCCCCAGCTCGTGCCCCGCCTCTCACCCGTGTTGAAATAGTAGCCCTTGTTTTCCAGGCCCAGGGTCCACAAGCCCTGTGGGTCCTCATCCCAGAAGTGGGTAGACATAAAGATCCAGTTGTTGTAGCCTTGGCCACTGATGTCGAAGGGTCTGGGACAGATAGGTGGGGGTGGGGCAAAAGGGTGGATTCAGAACCACAGTCATGAAGGGGCTGCTGAGCCACAGCAAGTATCTGACTGCAATGACAAATGCTGGCTGCAGGACTGGCCGCCATGGGACTGGTCCCCCCTGCGTAGGCCACACCCGACCCCAGAGTGCACTTGCCCCTCTGTGTGAACCCATAGGGCCAGGTCCCCCGACTCTGTACCTGATGGCCACGAGTGTGGAGCGGGTGCCCATGGGGCTGGTGAGTGAGATCTCTAGGTCTCCCCGTCGGCTGTAGGACAGTGACAGCTGCACCTGCACATGCTCCAGTGAGCGGATGTAGTTGGCATGGCCAGCACAGGCCGACACTTTCTTTCTCATGTGCATCAGCGGCAGGATGGGGCTAAGGGTGGCACAGGGCATCAGGGCCCCTCCTGCTGGCCTGCTGGCCTGCTGGGGGTGGGGATGGGTGGCCAGCAGGCAACGTCTGGGCTCAGATTATGGGGCCCACATCCAGGATTTACTGAGGCCTCAGGGCCTGCCTCCCAAGTGTCTGCCCCCTGGGTATTAATGACAGGTGTGGGAAAGGGCTGGAGAGGTGACAGGTGTGAGGGGAGAAATGAGGAGGTGGCAGGTGTGCACAGTAGCTGGGACCAAAGAGCGTGCTCACGTGGGGTTGTGAAGGACTCGAATGGCGCATTTCTTCTGGGGCTGTGTGGGCAGCCACATGCGAGCCAAGTCTACCAGCAGCCCAGCATCCAGCAACCCATAGCCATAGTGGTGGCTCACTGTGTGGAGGGGGGCTGTCACTCACTCTGTGGGAATGGTGCCCCCACCCCAATCTGGCTATGCAGTACCTTGGCGCCCCACACCATTGGTCTTCCAGTCCTCGGCCTGAAGATGTGCCTGCCTGGATGCACGAACCACCAAGTGCTGCATGTCCCTCCATGTCAAGAACGGGCTGGGGGCAGGTGAGGGGGTAAGCTGGGTCCACAACTGGGGGGCCAGGGTGGAAAGTAGAGTC